CCAGGACCAAGGCCGTAGCCATGGAGTCAACATTGGGGGGGACCAAATGTTTCAGGGTGTCTGGGGGTCCCAACCCAGAAAAATATAAACATTTGAAAACGAATTTCCTGCCTAAAATATAAAAAAATTCACTAACGCATAGGATGGCCTTTTTTTACAATAATGTCGAATAGTGTCTTGTATTACATTGTTTTTACTTTTTTACCATTTCTTGTTTCATTGAATGTAATAGCAGAGATTAGGGATTGATAAAGTAAAACCATAACCACAATCATTTATACAGAAATCTAAGCATTGATTTATATGAAGACAAGTCCTGATATTGTGGCCAAGGTTAAGCAAATTGTTGTTGTTATTTACATAGCATAGCAATGATTTTTTTTAATAGCAAAACATTGGGGGGGACATTTTGAGCAGATATGAATATTTGGGGGGGGGGGGGATCCCCGCCCCCATATATATTATAATTACGGCCTTGCCCAGGACCTTCCTGACACTGAGCCTTGAGACTCAGTGAGGCTATCCCGGTGTGAATCTATCGCCTGGTTAATTATCACAGCGGGCATCTATCGTGATACTAAACAAAAAAAGACCTGTTTTTATTTAATGTTACCAGGTAAGACCCACTGAGACTGAGCTATCTAGTTATTTTTCAGAAGCGACCTGGCCATCACAAAAGATAGTTCAACCAAGTGGCTCATCGTGTGGAAATTCATAGCAGCCACATTGTCTGAACGCGTGGATGTTTATTGTAAATGTGGAGGAGAAGGCTGGCAAACCCGGCGAAAAAGTCCACGCGACCACGGCGAGAGAGACACGCACATTTCTAAAAATACAGCACACCCTTAGGGTCGGGATCGAACCCACGACCTCCTGTATACCAGGCGAGGTAGTTAACATCTCACCACCGTGGCGCCATATGCACGCAGTGGATAGCGCACTTCACTTAGAACCCGGTAACCTGAGTTTACTCAGGTTTACCGAGGTCTAACATCAGTGGCGAGTGATATCTGAACCGATCCTTGGCCACCACCCCCCAAACCCCCACCAGCACCTTCACCAGATCTGCCTTGACCAGCGTGGTGAAGTATGGTCAAACAGCTCCCCATCACCGAGACTGCCCGCGGAGAGACGCCTTAATCGAGGGCAGTAGATTATTACGTACGATTACAATTTGCACGTGTAAGATGCGGCCGATGTCATCATCACAAGACCAGAGATTTTTAGCCCCCAAGTTGCACAGCATGGGGCATTCGTGATTGCATTATATTACTCTTGAGAAGACCCCGCCAATGATTAAACGCTCACCGTTGCGTGCGCGCGTGTGGTTGTAACAGCCAAATGATCGCAACGTTCATAACCCGCACGGCTGTCAGAGAAGACAAAACGAGAAAATAACCTCAATGTGTGGCAAAGCGGAGGGTTTTTTTTGTTTTGTTTGCTGCTCGATGGTAAACTTCACCCCCCCCCCCCTCTGCTAACTACAATATTGACGTCACCAAATAATGGTTCAGGCTCACGTTCTCTCAGAGCGGCGGGGAACACGTGGCACTCATGGGCTGGGCGGGCTGGGGGGGTACATGGGTCTGGTGGATGGGGAAGGAGGAGGAGAGGGGGGGGAGAGAGAGGGGGGATTAAATTCAATCGTTCTGAGTGTCAGAGCTTTTTAAAGCAAAGGATATTTTTATTGATGGTGGCTGCTAGCATCGCTCGTGAGCTCTGGAGGAACGGCTTTTCATTGCTCGTTTAACAAAGGAATCCTCTTCCACCTCCTCCTCCTCTCCATCCTCCATATTCCGCCCCCCCCCCCCCCCCCCCCCACTTCGCTTGGCAAGATAGTTAACGCAAAAATCTAATTTCTCGGTTATTATGAGCAGATGAATTAGATTCGCGGCTGGGTGTATTACGTATAGGCGTATAGCCTCTGCATGTGCTGTATAGACTGCATGCCTGCATACAAAATAAAGATCCCCCCGTGTAGCCCTAACAGACTCTTGGGGTGAGTGCTGTTGGCGAGGAGCGGCTTTGAAGGCCGGAACGCCACGCGACAGGGTGGGGCTGCCACCACCACGCCCGGCCGCCTTTGTCTCCCTAGTGGCGATGCTTATACATCCACGCACCGGGTGCTCATTTGAGGCTGAGTCGACCTAGGGAAGGCCCATCACACGTGTTCAGTTAATCGTCACTGGTGGCACGTGAGCGGGAATCGAACTCGGGTGGCCGCGTTCAGAGCGCAGCGCGCTAACCACTGCGCCACCGCTCCCCACGCTGCTTGCGTACATACGTACGGACATACACTCACGACGCACGCGCGCCAGCCTCTCTGGAGCAAACGTTGCGAGGCGTGAGATTCCATCACTTGGGGGGATGGAGCGGGCAAGGGTTGGTGGATCACAGTTGAGATTTGTGAGACTCCTCGACAAATGGAAGCGGGGCGGCCACGAGCTTGCAGTAGAGCAAGTGGGCTCGCATCGCATGCCTTGGTCCAAGCCACCAGGTGCTCTTGCTCTCTCCCGCACGAAGCTAAACCCATCCTTATTTTGAAACGAATCGGTCGTGCCATAGCAACGCAGTCACGGATTATTGAATCCATCGGCACGGCGCTTCCGTGTCACCACCTCGTATGCTTCGCGGGTTCCTTCCGACTTCTCCCTAGTATGTATGTATGTTGTGTGTACGTTGTATGTATGCTGAACTTCTTTCGCACCGTACGGAGCCAAACGTGCTACTCGGAGGAGCGGGCGTAAGGGCAAGAAACTCAACACACGCGCACACACAAAACAGTTCTAAAGAAACGAGTTCGTCAACCTCGATGATTTAATAGTCCACAGCTCCAGTGGCTTCCTACCATCGGAAGGAATAGCGTTCCAGACGGCCGCAGAAGCGCTTTTTGCCGTGACCACCGTCTATGTTCGATGGTCGAGCTAAAAGCCGCTGCTGCTGCGAGGATAATGATGATGATGATGATCGAAGTTCGAGTGATAGTTGATGCTCCTTGACGAGATCAGCGAGGTGTTGTGCCCTCCCCCGACCCTCTCCTCCCCCCACGTGAAGCCAGAGGCTCATTGTCAATCAAATCGACCAAACACCCCCCATCCCTCCCCCCAATGCAGGACCCTCCTGAAAGCGCGGTCTTAAAACTCGCTGAGGCCGTTCCCGGGATAACTAACGGCTTACATGCGGGGAACCTTGTTTGCCGTAAGCGGTTCGTGCACGCTGCTAAAATCGCAGCCAACGTATGTTCGATTCCAGGCCACGGCGCGCACAGCCGGTGGTGATGGGCATGCAACGTTTTAGCCTGGCCCTCTTCTGGATCGGTGAAAGGCAAAATGCGCAGCCCTGCAATTGTTTTCTCACCACCACTGGCCGGAGGTGAGCTCCAACGAGACCCCGAGGGAGCGTATTTTGGCTCCGCTCTTCCGCGCGTGGCCAGACGTCTCGAATGACGTGGGAGCATCTCGCAAATTTACCCCACTACAAATCTCATGCCGATCGAGGAACAATCATAATAATGTATGTATGGTGATCTTCTTTTGCACCGTACGTAGCCAACCGTGCTAATCGCAGGTGCGGGGGAAGGACAACAAACTAAAATGATACATAATGATTGACAGTCCTTTGACCTTTGTCAATTCACTGCTGGACGAATGTCTCCCCATACCAGTCTGTCATGGAGGTTAAGTGACCATACTTCACCACGCTGGTCGCTGCGGGTTGCTGTTCGCAATCACCTGACTGGGAGCACGTGTCACAAATTGTCGCTTGCGTGTCAAGTGACAAATGTCAAGGGTGTCTCCGAGTACTTGCCAGCAATGTGGAAGCGTCATATCGATTGGTGGTCCCGAGCCATAACAATAATTATCATTATTAACGAATACTATTTTGAATTTCGATTTAAAGCTTTCGTGACTGCAATGATTCATCTTCTTTGGTTCTTTCGGTAAAGTCACGTAGAATGAGAATAAAATAATAAATTGATAAAATAAAATAACACAATAATATTCTCACGACGTTTCGGCCACAACACAAGCGGCCTTCATCAGGTGAAGGGGGCGAGACTGTCTGGTAGGACAGCGCTGGAGACAGTCTCGCCCCCTTCACCTGATGAAGGCCGCTTGTGTTGTGGCCGAAACGTCGTGAGAATATTATTGTGTTATTTTATTTTATCAATTTATTATTTTATTCTCATTCTACGTGACTTTACCGAAAGCACCAAAGAAGAATACTATTTTGGTTTACAATTAAAGTTTCAAATGAATTGCGCTGTTATTATTACGTGTCAGTATTCAACGCCAGGATTCAACGCTAGGCTTCTCAAACAAACTAACCACCGTGCCGTATTTTGTTCGCACGGCAAAGTTTCGTCCGAGCCTCGTGACCTCATTTGCAGGAAGTCTCTCTGCCACGTTGGGATGTTTCACCAGTGCCATGGCTTAGGAATGTTGCTGTTGGTGCACGATCACAAGTAACAACACCAACAGCAGCAGCAGCACATTATTTAATACCACTGTGTGGCCTTGAAAGGACAAATGTATAATAGGCGTGCGTTTCAGTTAATGTCTCTTGTTCATAATTCACCACTCTGGGTTTTTTCTTGCTATCTACCACATCACCTAGTTTGTCTCATTCCAGCTCTGAGAAGCTACCCAGTAACCATGGGACCGTTAGGCGGACGTTGGTCCAACCTTCGTCCAACGGTTCCAACCACACGCCAACGTTGCTGCAACGTTGGCGCAACGTTGCTGCAACGTAAGCGCAACGTTGGCGTGTTTACCCGGGTAGCTAACTCATTAAAGCTACCGTGCCGGGTTACTCAATTAATAGCTGAGTCGACGTAGCGGAAAGCCCAGGTACGGTTCAGATACCACTCGCCCCACTGCCTTTTTTTTTCGCCGTGGCCAGGGTTGGAACTCAGGTGGTCGGGTTCCGAGCACGGTGCGCGAAACGATTCACCCGCCGCACGAACCGCTCTCTGCGCAACACGGAGTTGACAACGTAGACTCACACAAGCGTTGGGTTTATTCGGTTATAACGTGCGCTGACTGCATCGCGTTGTCTCAGAATCGTATTGGTGATGCACGTATTGGTGATACACGTATTGGTGATACACGTATTGGTGATACACGGACACGAGCTCTCTCTCTCTCTCTCTCCTGAAGCCCTCGAGTCGCTCGACGTTGCCATTTAGCTCATGAACACGATCGCTGCCACACGCAAGAATAGCAAAGTGTGAGTCCACGTGGCTCGGTGCGAGTCAGTGGCTCTCCGCGTGAGTCTGGCTCTCTGCTTGCGTGAGTCCACGAGTCTCTGTGCCCCCTTCGACGGAGGAGCAGGAACAGCAAAACGACACGAACTCTCCCTCTCTGTCCCTCTCTGTCCCTTCCGGTGAAGCTCTCTAGTCGTGGCAAGCGGCAGACCGCAACATCGGTTGGCATCGAGGTCCTGACTGAATACATCACCGCCATCGCACGCGTGCAAGGGCAGAATAACGTTAATAATAAACGTGGCATTTATGCATTTAGGAACAAACAAAAAAAACCTCATCCACAAACCATCGTTTATGTTTATACCTAACCGTCATCAATTAGGCGTGTGCATCATCAATAACGAGTGCGTATCGGCATCATCATCATCATCATCGCAGCCATCATCATCATCATCAAGCTTGCGTATTTAAAACAATTTGTAAAGACGCACATATATTCATTTAACGTCCCCGTTGTTGGGCAATTCAGATAAAACATTAAATCGCAGACGCGCACATTTCCCGGCTCTTTATTGCGTTTCGCTGCTGTAAATAAAGCACGCTAATGGCTGCATTGGCAATTAGCATCCGGGCACGCTTGTGTTGGCCATTCCGTAGTTCTCAGCCCTTCCTATCTCTCAACCTCGCTCTCTCTCTCTCTGCACTCCCATGACTGTTTATCGTTGAACCAAGTGAGCGTCGCCCTTGCAGCCTCAACCTCCTCCTCTTCCTCCTCCTCTTCATCGCCCCCCTCCGCCCTCCTCCACTCCAATGAGCCGCTCCACGAGGCGCCCCTGCGAAGCGAAATGAGAGATACAAATTTTGAGATAAAAATTTAGAGATTAAACGGGCAACACGCGCAGCAAGCGCCCGCCGGCTACCAGACCAGCAAAGGGACCTAAAGGGCGATTTTGGATTACGCGGTGCGTAGTGGGGGTGAGTGTGTGGGCATGGGTGGAGATCACAGGGTCCAAATATTCACGCCGCCGGAGAATTCGATGAATTATCGCGATTCGAGTGGAGACTCGGCGATGGTTGTTGTTAAATTTCTGTCACCGTCACCGTGAAGTGAGTGGAGAGTGTGGAGGGGATGGCGATTTGCACGCCCGGTGATCTTCCTGCCGCTACTGGTGATGGTGCTGTCACAGAGTGAGTGGTGGTTGTGGTTGGTGGTGGGGTGTTTACATACCCGCACACCGCTTCTGGTGTACACACACTCGCTTGATGGTAGTGGCAGGGCGAGATGGTTGTTGAGTGAGTGAGTGAGCGGTGGTGGAGGAGGAGTGGTAGTGAGTGGTGGGGGAATGGTATTGTATACTCACTAGCTTGATTGGGTTAGGTGGTGGGCGAGTGAGTGAGTGGTGGTGGTGGTGGTAGGTCTATGGGCTAGGTGGTTGGTGAGTGACTGAGCGCTGGTGGTGAGTGGTGGTGGGCTGAGGCTGTATACTCACTGGCTTAGTCGGTACATGGTGGGCGAGTGAGTGGTGGTGGGTTGGGAGTATACACGCGCCGTGATTTTACTGTGAACTCTGAACACATCTCGACCAAATTAATCTCCCTGAAGCAGTGGAACGGAGCTTCCCTGGAAATTGCGGCGAGATATGAAAGTCAGCGGGAGGTCAGGGCCAGCCTCGCCTCCTGCCCTGATTGGGATAATTTTTTAAAGGTTGATATAAATATAGGCGCTCCTCAAAAGCCGCCCGTGCAGCAGTTATATTGTGATCATTGCTCACGGAGCGGGAGATGGGTTTTAGCTGCGTGTGAGGAAGGACGCGTGTGTACGTGTGTGTACATGTGTGTGTGTACATGTGTGTGTGTGTACGCGTGTGTACGTGTGTGTGTACGTGTGTATGTGCACGTGTGTGTGTAGGTGTGTATGTGCACGTGTGTACGTGCGTGTGTACGTGCGTGTGTGTACGCGTGTGTGTGTGCGCGTGTGTACGTGTGCGTACATGTGTGTGTGTGCGTGCGTGTGTGTGGGAAGCGGTGACGCAGTGGTTAGCATAGCCGCGTTACGAACCCGACAAGCCGAGTTCAATTCCCGCTCAAGGCCACCAGCATCCAGTGGCGATTATCTGAACCGGTCCTGGGCCTCCGCTAGGTCGACTCAGCCTTCAAACGAGTATCTGGTGCGGTGCGTAAAAACATCGCAACTTGGGAGACAAAGGCGTCCGGGCGTGGTGCTGACCACCCACCCCCTCGTGTGCCGTGCTCGCTAACAACACTTGCCCCAACAGTCTGCAGGGCTATTCGAGACGTGCGCCAGCATCGGACCATGAACCTGGGCTACTTAACTTTGATTCTTGACCACGGCGCATACCAATGCGGAGGGCCGGACTATCAGAAGCGGCCATGGAACGACAAGGTCTAGGTCGACTCAGCCTCAAATTGAGTACCTGGAGAGACAACGGCGTTCGGGCGTGGTGGCTAATCACGCCGCCCTCTCGTGTGCCGTATCGGCCCGTAGAGATAAGTGTCCGCTAACAGTAGCTACCCCAACAGGATGTTAAGGCAATATGGGAGCTTTTTAGCTTTGTTTGAGTGAGAGTGCGTACACGTGCGTGAGTGTGTGAGAGTATGTATGAGCGCACAAGAGAGAGAGAATATGTGCATGTGTATACGCAAAGAAGCGTGTCTTTGCACCTGTGTCAAGACCAATAAGAGTGGTGAATATTGCACCTGTGTCAAGATCAATAAGAGTGGTGAATATTTGAACCAGTCTTAGGCCTCTCCTAGAGAACACAGTCGTGGGTTTGGCCACAAAGATCCCAGCGTATAGGGGAGGGTGGGGGGCTATGAGTGTGAGGGTAGCGGACGATATAAAGTGGCGGATATTTAACTGAGGCCACCAAGAAGCAAACAGATCCTTGCTTGAACGAATCCCATGTGCCATCGGGGCCGTCCTAACAGGATTACACAGCGGTAGGAAACGTTGGGAGTGTTTAAGTTAGTGTATTCATTTATGCCCCCTGCGTAAGCCTATTTTCTTCGCCTGGCCAAACATTACGGGGATTTCACCCCCGGTGGCATTTGATGGTCTCAAACCAAAGTTTTATTTCGTCAAGCCCAACAAAACAACGATTTTAAGCTGTTTACCGTGCGTGTGTGTGTTCCGCACGATGTTCGACGTTTCGCACTTACGTACTGCTGGCGGCTTCTTCAGGAAGTTCACGTTAAACATCTCCCACATCAAACCACAACCGTCACCACTAAAACGGTGTGTGTCTTTGTGCGTGCGTGTAACCCACCACCACCATCACCACCACCGTCATGTCAGGCGTTTCGTGCCACGTACATTGATTCGTCGTTGAACTTGAGACGCGTCGCGTTTGCGATGGATGCACAGGAGACAAACAACGAAATGTGCATCGGACACCGACGGACTATCTGTCCATGGATCGTGATGATGACGACGAGGATGATCATGATGATCACGACGAGGATACGAACGGCACCCAGGGAGGGGCTGGTGGGGGTCGAGGAGAGGTTTAGGGGAGCGGTAGTTTAGCGGCTAGCGTCACACTGCGCAACGAACCTGGCGAGCCGAGTTCGATTCCCGCTCACGGCCAACCTCGGTGACGATTATCTGAACCGACTCTGGGCCTCCCCTAGGTCGACTCAGCCTAAAATGAGTACCTGGTGCAGTGTGTAAACATCGCCACTGGGGGAGACAAAGGCGACCGGGCGTGGTTGCTGGCCACCACCACCCCCCCTTCGTGTGCCGTGCCGGCCTTCACAGGTGTTCGCTAACAGCACTTGCCCCAACAGTCTGTTACAGGCTATACGGGGCATCTTTGTCTTGCTGTGGGAGACATCACCCCGTGATGACACGTGCGTGGTAACGAGGAAAATCAGCCACTTGGAGCTGTGACGCCGCCGCCGCTGCGGATGAGTAACTCGACCATTCGCGTGATGCCCTCAAAGCGCGCCTCTATGCCATCAGCCGCGCGTGTTGATCGCTGCAGCAGCAGGCACACACGCGCACAAAGGACAAAGATCCCCCGTATAGCCTTGAACAGACTATTGGGGCAAGTGCTGTCAGCGAGTAGCACCTGAATGAAGGCCGCCACGGCACACGAGGAGGTGGGTGGCCATCAAACCTACGCCCGGCCGCCTTTGTCTCCCCGGTTGCGATGTTTTACACACCGCACCAGCTACTCATTTGAGGCTGAATCGACCTCGGGGAGGCCCAGGACCGGTTCAGATAGCGCGGAGCCCTTGAAAGTGCGGGGCCTGTAGCTACTACATGTGTGTAGTAGCTACAGGCCCCGCACTTTCAAGGGCTCCGCGCTAAATGCTTTCAGGCTATCAATTCCGGTTCAGTGATTCTGCACTTGCTCTATCGCTATAGTACTATACTACCTTCAACTTTTTTGAACGACTGGGTGTTTAAGGTTAGCGATTTGTCGTATTATCTGACTGTATAGCAAATGAAAAACTACAATTGCTTGACTGTTCAAGTTAAACTCAGTGTTTTAATATTTGTGGGTTTTTTTATTAATTTAAGGCCCCTTTATAACATATGCTACAGGCCCCGCACCAGCTTAATCCGGCACTTGTCACTGGTGTTGGCCGTGAACGGGAATCGAACTCGTGCTCGGGCTCGGCGGAGTCCGAGCCCAGCGCGCTGACCGCTACGCTACCGCTCCCTACGCACGCGCGCAGCAACAACAAACCTGCCGCTCGCCACTCAGTGGCGGAGACATCCTTGGTGCACTTTGAGGCCACGTGAAGTGTCGAGGACCCGCTGTTAGGAGGTCACGGAACAGACCCAGGTGGTGCCACGGCCTGACTGACTGAGATGACCGGCAGATGCACACACGCGCACACAAACAAAGACAAAGGTCCCCCGTGTAGCCTTAACAGATTGTTGGAGGAAGAGCTGCGAGCGAGCACCTATGAAGGCCGGCACGGAACACGATGTTCACACACCGCACCGGGTACTCATTCGAGGCTGAGTCGACCTAGGGGAGGCCCAGGACCAGTCCAGATAATCGTCACTGGGTGTTGGACGTGAGCGAGAATCGAACTCTGGTCGCCAGATTCGTAGCGCAGCGTAGCGCTGACCACTACACTACCGCGCACACGCACACACACGCACACACGCACAAGCGCACACGCGATTCCACCCGCAGATTCCCACGGAACCGGCGCGCAATCGCACATCGACCGCCGTGCACGCGATAAATGATAACACGCACAAAACACCAATACACGCGGCACACTCTCAACACGTGCGTTTATTCTGTTGGAAATGAGAGAGAGAGGGAGAGAGCTTCGTAAAAGGCTATTGAAACGGACAAAAAATATATCACTCACTCACACTCTCTCTGACACACACACACAGACACAGACTTCTTTCTTTTTACATAACCACAGCTGCTGCCCGGGCCCTTCAGCAGATGGGGCGGAGATCCATACAAACCAAATTATATCATCTCTTGGCTTGTTTACAATAATTATGGTTTCTGGCCCGAGCCGGCCACGTCGGCCCCCGTCTGGCACACGAGGCAGGCACCACCGCCACAAACGCAGCAATAATCCCATTAGGTGCCTCGCGCGGCGCGTGGCGGGCGGGCTACTGGTACCAGGGACTCGCTAATGACGGCCTAATACGATCCACGCTCCTTCTCCTTCTCCACCCCGCCTGATGTCCCCCCCCTCCATACACTCCACCAATTCCCCCCCCCCCAACTCGCTCTCTCTCTCTGCTGGCAGAACCAGACGGCTCACAAAGAGCGCCCTCCAGGAAGTGGTGGCCGACAAAGATTGATGTTGGCTCCGCGCGCGCTTCATGCGGTGTGCACGATCACCGATTTAATATTTCGGCAATTTCCTCTCCGTGTGTGTGTGTCTTTCTGTTCTGTCTGTGTATTCGTGGCTGTGTCTCTCTGTTCTGTCTCCTCTCTCTCTCTGTGAGTGTGTGTGTCTGTCTCGCCGGGAATACGAAAGGATGGTAGAGAGTGGTGGCTTGGATGGGAGCAAACTTCTGTCCGACCGAGTGGGGGAGGGGTGGCGCGCAGGTTAAAGTGGCACAGCGGGATACGGAGGTCACACAGGAAGAGGGGTCACAGAAAGGTCAGAGAGAGAGGGGTCACGAAGAGAAGTCAGAGAAAAATAGAGGTCACACACGGAGATGGGTTGTACGGAGGGGGAGGCCACAAAAAGATGTCACAGATATAAAGAGAGGTCAGATGGAAAGAGATCACACTATGACATAAGTTACACAGGGGGAGAGAGAGGTCACAGGTAGAGAGAAAGGTGACAGAGATTAGAGAAAGAGAGATCACACATGAAGAGCAAGAGAGGTCACGGAGAGATAGAGAGAGGTCACAGAGAAAGAGTCAAAACTAAAACTAAACTATCTTTATTTTTTCTAGATTTGAAGCTTTCGTGACTGCAAGGATCCATACTCTTTGGTTCTATTCGGTAAAGTCACGTAGGTAAAAAATAAAATAACAAAAATCACGACGTTGTGTTGTGGCCGAAACGTCGTGATTTTTGTTGTTTTATTTTTTACCTACGTGACTTTACCGAATAGAACCAAAGAGTATCTTTATTTTACTAGGTAAGGCCCACTGAGCTATGTAGCTCAAGCAAGTGGCTTATCACGTAGAAATTTATAGCAGCAGCCAAATACTTTAAACGCGTGTTTCTAAATGTGGAGGGAAAACTCGGAGGACCCGGAGAAAAATCCACGTGACAACGGGGAAAGAGACACGCAAACTCCAAATATATAACAGGCGTCTGGGTTAGGATCGAACCCACGCTCTCCTGTATACCAGGCGAGGTAGTTAACATCTCCTAGCCACCGAGTCGCAGAGCAGGGTCACACGAGCAGAAAGAGGCGGGAGGCAGAGATCACACGCCAGAGTTGAGTTCAGTGCGAGGTTATCCCACGGGCGTTGCAAGTCGGGTTAAGTTGGGTATCGCGAGCAGTCTTGCCCGAGAGATAACGAGGATGAGTGTACGAAGATGGTTTTTCGCATCTCATGGAGGAGCCGTGCGCGGAAAATGGGTATACGGCAAGGGCGAGCGACAGAGAGAGAGAGAGAGAGACTGGCAGAGAAAGAGCGAGAAGTGCGGGATGTGAGACAGAGAGGGGGGAGATGTGAGAAGAAGATGAGTGAGGGCGATGTGGGTGAGAGGAGGAATATGGAGAGAGGCGCTGATGGTTGCTGCGGTGCATTGAGAGGGAAGCTGAGGGGGGGGGGGGGGGGGCAGACACGGGGGGGGGGGGTGCACGTGGAACCCCCTACTGCTTGAGTGGGGGCCTCACCCCCCCTCCTTCCGTCCCCCCCCCCTGCCCCCCTCCCCGTCTCTGGCCGCCTCCTCCACTCACTCCCAGCAGCTGGCGCGGAGAGCGAGCGGAGTCAGCGGCGACGTCGTCGGAGTGGCGCGCGGGAGAGGCGGCAGAGATCATGAGAAAGTGGCGCCCCCCGCACCCGGCACCACGGGGGGGCAACGTCAGGCGACGCAGCCCCCCCCCTTCGCCATCCCTCCACCCGCCCGGGTCTCTCCGCACAATCGGCGCGATGGGACAAAGCCTTCAAAAGCTCCGTCTCCTGGCCTCGCCGCACGAAGCTAAGTGATGCCCCGCTGGGCCGCTTACCACGGCGGTCAAAAGATTTTGAAAATTAAGCACAATAACTTTTAAGAGGCCCTAATGAATATGTGAGTGGAAAAAATTGCTCCGAAGAAGGAAGGGAAAGTGAAAAAGAAAGAAAGAACTCCTCCACGAACCGCTCACTCAAAACAAAAGCCATACTGGAGCCAATCTAGAGAAGTTTGCCCGTTTTGTTCCCAGAAACTTCACACGTTCATTTAGGGAGAAATAGCAACTGGCTTAAAAAAAATAAATCTGAAACAGAGGCCGTGGCCGTGAAGGTGGTGGTGGTGGTGATGGTGGTGTCAATGTCGTGGCTCTGAAATGCGGATGAATGAAAAGTCTGACGCCACATTCACAAATTCTTGATGACAATTTAAAAGTTACAATTTGTATTTTTAGGGACATCGTTTAAACAAAAAAATAGTGTTTTATTTGAAATTAATTAGCACTTGGAAGAAATAAAAAAATGTGTTTAACTTTGAGTGTAATTTCTAAAATGGAACATCAACAACACATGTTTACCATTGTTGTGATTGTTCGTTGGCAGCGGTGCACATGCACAAACAACAACAACGCTCAGCACATTCGTCAATAACACTGCCCTAAAAAAAGGACAGAAATTAATATGAGATAGGACGTTTCAAGAAACGGCCCTTCTTTCAATTCAACACGTAGGCTTCATAGCACATTTGTAAATCCAAATCCACTCACTCATCGGGGTGAGGGTGCCGACTGTCCAAACTTGATTCCTAACTTTATTCACCTTTTCATTCGTGACGTTAATCGCCTGCTGTACCTCAACGCGCTCTCTAATTTATTTGTGGTGGTGGTGGTGGTGGTTGGGGAGGGGGCACGAACACACACACACACACGTGTTCTTTTGGCAGAACGAGTCACAAGTTCGCGCCCCATGCAGCGTTCGATTTATCCGGGACCCCGACGCTCGCGAATTGACACGGCTCGGCGTGGGCTTCGTAATTAACAAATTGGCGTCTGTTCTTTGAAAAAAAAAACTCAACTAAATAATTCCAGCCAACAGCCGCGGTCAGGTCGGCCCTATCTGCAGGAGCCATATTGTACCCGGAGAGGTTAATTTCATTACTCGATATGACACGTTGCGTTTGCGGGCAGCAGTAGCAGCAGCAGGCGGTGGTGGTGGTGGTGGTGGTGGGGGTCTGTGCTGCCCCCCCTTCCCCCCCCAGCAGGAGTCCCCCACCCGCACCCCTCCCGGGACCGAGATCCACGCGCGGGCGCCACGTGGGGCCGCCACTCCGCGCGACCGGCACCAGCGGTGTCCGTGCATCGCCACCACAAAGGGCCTCTTCTCTCTACTCTCTCTCACTCTCTGTGTGTGTGTGTGATACTCTCTCCCTCGTTTAGGCCCTCTTCTCTCTTCTCTCTACTCTCTCTCACTCTCTGTGTGTGTGTGATACTCTCTCTCTCGCTCTCTCTGTATGTGTGATACTCTCTCCCTCGTTTAGGCCCTCTTCTCTTTACTCCCGCTCTCTCTCTCTCCGCACTACTCTCCCTCCCTCCAGGGCTTACTCTCACTCCCCTCTCTCTTTCCTCTCCACTGTCAAAGGCGTCCTTCTCTACTGATGCTCTCCCTCTCTCTCTCGCATGCCCTCTATATCTCTACTTTCCATCGCTCTCTCGACCCTACTCTCTCCTCTGTCTTTCTTCTCTCCCTCTACTCTCCCGTCCTGTCTCTGGGCCTAATCTCCCTCCCTCTCCTCTCCACTGACTCAACCATTACCACAATGCAGGTCACAACAACGACTCACTCACCCACTCATTAACCCACCCACTCACCCACCTGCTCACCCACACACTCACCCACACACTCGACCATCCACTCACTCATTCACCCACTTACCCACCCACTCATTCGCCCACTCATCCACCCACTCACTCATTCACCCACTCACTCACCCACTCACTCACCCACTCTACCACCCACTCACCCACTCATTCATCCACTTACCCACTCAATGATCCATCCATCCACTCATCCACGGAATCGCCTACCCACTCACCTGCCCACTAACCCACTCAATGATCCATCTATCCACTCACATACCGAATCACCTACCTACCCACTCACCTACCCACTCGCCCACT